TTATATTTTTATAAAACAATGCCCTTATTTTAATAAATTTCCACACCTCTTAAGACCCTGCTAGAGCGAGAACAATAGGGACAGTAATTATCAGTAAATGTCAGCACTTGTCTAAGTTTTTCAGCAGGGACAGTAAACGGGTCAGTAATTGTCTAAGTTTATCAGCACCGACTAAGATTGTCAGCACTTTTCTAAGTTTATCAGCACCGGCAGTAAAAAGGTCAGTAATTGTCTAAGTTTTTCAGTAACGACAGCACATTGTCAGTAAATGTCTAAGTTTATCAGTAAAAAATGGGAATGTCAGTACGTTTCTGACTTAGTAGTGTAGGGGGGCGTGGATAACTTTGTTGAGGCAAGGGGTCTGGGGGCCGCCTTAAGGCCCCCAGTGGGTCCAGGGCGAAGCCCTGGTGGGGGCCCAGGGTGCGAAGCCCCCGGAAGCTCCTGGGTTTTCGTGTATTTTAGAGTAAAACCAGGCACTATAATAGTGCATATTTTTCAATTTTTTTTTTAAAAGTGGCATATAGGTTCGGATGTTTGAATGATAATATTGTATTGAATGTTTCTCAGTTCTCATTGTATTGTAACACATGCAGGCATAATAAACGATTTACCTACTTAGTACTTACTAATAGTGGTATATTGGTTAGTGATGTACCAAAGTACGCCGTGTTTAATACTATTTATATCATACTTTGAAAGGGGGGACCAGGGGGCGCAGCCCCCGGAAGCTCCTGGACTTTTGTGTATTTTAAGAGTAAAACCAGGCAGAATAACAGTGGTTTGGTTGGTTTTGTACCAAAATGTGGCATTATAAATATTAGTCACATCATACTTTGAAAATTTTAGGGGGGGGGGGGCGTGCGCCACCCACGCCCCCCCTTAAATCCGCCAGTGGTCAGGAATTTCAATTTATCAGTTAGTCGAATAGTAATTAATTTTTCAGACGTAATGTTATACCATAATTTAAACATTAATGTCTACGACTTACTCTTTTTTGTCCGATCAGAACAAGGAGTATTCGTTTCGTACGGTTTACAGGTCTGCAGGGGATCCTTATTACTCTATGGCGACTCATCTCACTTTTTATTATCTCTACTGATCAGAGACCAGAAGAGCTTATGCAATAGTAATGCGTCCGTCAGTCCGTCCGTCTGTCTGTCTGTAAACAATTTTTCAAAATGCTACTCCTCCTACAATTTTGGTCCGATTTCAATATAACTTGGCACACAAGTAGATCTACACTAATATACATAATTCTGTGCATCGGTTTTGGATGTCGATGAACGATGTTGCCATGGTTACTAAAAATAGAAATTTCTGTGAAATTCTTTCTAAATGCTACTCCTCCTACAGTTTTGATTTGATTTCAATATAACTTGGCACACAAGTAGACTACACTAAGTTACATAATTCTGTGCATCGGTTTTGGATTTCGATAAACTGTGTTGCAATAGTTACTAGAAATAGAAATTTCTGTGAAATTCGTTCAAAATGACAGTTTTGGTCCAATTTCAATAAAACTTGGCACACAAATAGACTACACTAAGTTACATAATTCTGTGCATCAGTTTTTTGATTTCGATGAACGATGTTGCCATGGTTACTAAAAATAGAATTTTCTGTGAAATTCCTTTAAGATGCTACTCCTCCTACAGTTTTGATCTGATTTCAATATAATTTGGCACACAAGTAGGCTACACTTAGGTACATAATTCTGTGCATCGGTTTTGGATTTCGATTAACGATGTTGCCATAGTTACTAAAAATATAAATTTCTGTGAAATTCTTTCAAAATGCTACTCCTCCTACAGTTTTTGCCTGATGTCAGTATAACTTAGCACACAAGTAGGCTATACTAAGATACATTATTCTGTGCATTGGTTTTTAATTTGATAAGCGGCAAGGACCATTTTTCTATTAATTGCTATTTCAAAGTTTCAAGTCCCAGCTGCTACGTTTCTCTTCCTTTGTTTTATGTATAAACCAGTAGAGCTACAGTCTCGACAGAGACTTCTGGTTTATTTAGATGTTCGTCTTTGCTCAGTTCAGGATACTTCAAAACTTTTTAACTAATCATGATATTCCTATTTCATTGCTAAGTTTATAGAATAAAACTGATTAGATGAATAATTCTATCGGAAAGAAAATCCATATCAGAGAGACTGATTACTGAAGGGCATATACTGAATGTTGCCCTTCAAAACAACTAATTGTTTCCTCTTTTTTCATATTGTAGTGTGTGAAAACATTGTGAATGGAAGGTATGTTTTCTTATTCTAGTTAATGAGTAGGATCCTTAATAAATTGCCTTTATATTTTATTTTTTTCAAAAACTTTACTTTGAAGTCATTATTTTCTTTTCAGACAGAGATTGCCTTCTGATGTCAGTGGTAGGGGTGAGTCAAAATTATTTAAACTCAGGGTGACTATTTCTATTCAAGAACACACTCCCAATTGCTATAGGAAGGCCGCAGATTAAGTATACTATAATCATCTGGTTTTGAACAACCAAAATATGTTTCGTGCAAAGGATGCGAGACTGTCGGGTATATGGGCCTATCATAAACTAACAATCGAAATTCTTCAACAAAAATGGAACTCGTAAGTTTACTTACCTCGTCATTGGTCATTTGAAAAATTATTTTGTTAAAACAGATTCTGATTGCACACATAAGTACTCTGAAGTTGACATCAAGAAGATGCTTGAGTTTCTGATTGACAATATCTATGTGGTTTTTGGAGACCAGGTATTCCAACAATCTATTGGAATTCCCATGGGTACAAATTGCGCTCCGTTATTAGCAGACTTATTTTTATATTCATATGAAGCAGAATTTATGCAAAATCTTTTACGTGAAAAGAAGAAAACACTTGCTGTGGCCTTCAACTGGACATTTAGATATATCGACGACGTATTGTCTATTAATAATGATAATTTCCATTCCTACGTCGACACGATATATCCTGGTGAGCTTGAAATAAAAGATACCACAGAGTTCGACACTTCTGCTTCATACTTGGATATTTTACTTGAAAAAGACACTAATGGTAATCTAACAACCAAGCTATATGATAAACGTGATGACTTTAACTTTTCTATCGTCAACTTTCCTTACTTATGCAGCAATATACCTTCATCACCTGCATACGAAGTATTTATATCTCAGTTCATTCGATACGCAAGAGCATGCTCTACGTATGAACAATTTCTTAAACGAGGTAAATTATTGACAATCAAATCAATGAAACAAGAATATCAGCGGTCTCGTTTAAAGTCATCATTTCGTAAATTCTATGGTCGTTACAATGACCTTGTCAGCAAATACAATTTATCATTGAATGAAATGCTGACTGACGTTTTTCATACCAATTGTTAGTCCATTATTTATACACTGAATTGACCACGGATTTTTTCCGTTATATCCTGATTATGACAACGAGCACACGGCGGGTGTGACCGGTCGGCAGGGGATGCTCACTCCTCCATGGCACCTGATCCCACCTCTGATGTTTCGGGGGTCCGTGTTTGCTCTGCTCTTTATTTTGTATATTTGTTTAATGGACGTTGAGATTGAATACTGTTCGTTATTTCCATATCCTTCTACAATTTTTTAAGATTATAAGAGAGAGGGAGATATGGGAAATAGGGGAAAATACGAAATAAATTTTTCACTGTTGCAAATAATTAATTTGAAAGAAATTATCACTGAATTAAAATGGAGAGAAAAAAACAACAATGAACAGCTTCAGTTCAAGGAATCTTATTAAAAGAGTTCTCATTCTCAGTTACTGCAGTTTGCTTTTCTATTTCACTTACACCTTTTTACTCGATATTATGAAATGGGCAATGATTTTAATAAATTTAAATCTTAACCTACCAGACATGCTTACAAACTGTGTATTTCTTTCGCTTTCTGTGGCTTTTTCTCTATAAGATTAAACTTCATTTTATTTCAATCTTACTCCAAGGAGTCATAACTCGATCAAATTTTAATCTACACCTTTCATGTAGATTTCACCAATCATATTCTTGAGAAAACCTCTAAATAGATTTTTCTTATATATTCCTTTGCGAGACTTTTATCGTCCATTGTGACCCTACGCTTCCCCCGAGGGATCATAATTTGAATAAAATTTTATCATCCCGAGGACGATTCCTAGCATGTATTTGCATATATATTGTATATGATATAATTTTTTGTATAAAAAAACATCAACAAGATATTTGGCAAGTGTTTAAACACTTTTTACAAACATATGCTGAGAGATATAATTCTGTTTTCAGTGACGGAAGTCTTAGTGTGGGTTCATTAGTTTGTGTTTGGTCATTACAAAAAAATTTCGAATGGAACGTAGAACATCATTTAAGAAATCATGATTTGTTTGCAGTTTTTTTTTTTCGGAACATCTTCAAAAATGTTTTTTCGTCTTCTTTTAATCAATTAAAATTGACTTAAGTTCAAAATAGTTAATATTTATTTTTCAGATGCGTCAAGAGGAGCAGATTCGTACGTAGATTTATTTTCTCTCTTTCACAATGGGCTCTAATAATTCTTTAAAAGTAACAAATTTGCAAACTCTTATATTTTCTTTGATAGGGTTCAATCGGCTTATACAGAACTAGGAGCTATCGAAAGTCCAAACAGTTACGAACACATTCGTAGGAACGATACGGCATATACTGAACTCGGAACTCTTGAAAGCCCGAATCATTACGAACATCTTCAACAATATGCAGAAATCAGTGATATGATGTAACCAATATGTCACGTTAAAAGTTAAATTCTGATAAATGAAACACAACGATTTTAAAAGTGCAACTAGAATTACACACTCCTATGGCAGAAATAGTTATTCTACACTAACCGATGAAACCATACAAAAAATTTATACAATCTAAACATGAAATCGTAAAAAAAATCATCACTTCATGTTAACCTGCGATTCTAGAAGTACTTTCAAAAAAGTATGGAATAAGAGCTTTCGATAGAAAGAAAAACATGTTTCATAATATGCGGCATAGTGTTGAACTTTTGCATCTTTTTTCGAATCAAACAGCAGAGGAAAGAGCTGATTGGAATGTAAAAACTCTGTCATCATTTTATGAAGAATATGTTAACATAAAGAAGCATATCTTATTCATAAGCATTGATTTAGCATGACTCACACATGATATTTATGTTAAATGCTTTTAACTCCGACTTCAACTGCTTGTTAAGATAAATTCCTGTCTTCATTTTCAGTCTGCAAATATTGATCAACAGTTGTACGACGCCATGGGTTTGGTATTTAACGCTAGTGATAAATATATTGCTAATTTTACCCCCCCCCCCCAAAAAAAACGTTATAATTATGTTAATATTAATTTTTGCATGCTTCCATTCCTTTTATAGCCTCAAATCAATCTTAATTAAATATTGATTTTTAGAAATCGTTATCTCTAAAGTTCCCGTCATGTTGCTTACTATGACGTCATATTGTATACATGAGTAGAAAATATGGATGTAGCCTATATACTCGCAGAATGTTTTAATTTGTATTTATTTTTACATACCATGAAGCAATTGGCAATAATCTTAAATCTGCATGAATTTTTTGAGTTAATTGTCATTATTCTAGCAGTTTTATATGTGTGGATTAGCTCTAATTCTTTTGAGTCATCCGCTGCCATGCCGATTGTTTACATTTTGTCATCTTTATATACACTAGTTTCGTATTTTTTCAAAACTCGTTATTCATGCTATATTACAAGCTAATTACTTGCTTTTATTTTGTTGGTTATTATTGTGGGTTCTACTATTTATTCAAGCCATTATTATCCCCGATTACCTGCGTATGCATATATGTGTATACAACTTGCACTATATTTTCATCCGTCCGCGATATCGTTTACATACTCAGCAAGTTTACTTTTGTGATTTAACAAAGCAAGTTTTACCTATATTTTGTTTACTAACGTTTTATAGATAAATCTTTTGTGATCTATATTAATTGGTTATGTTGTCTTTTTGCCTGTTATTTCCTGGGTTTCTTTATAATCCATATTAATTGTAAAACTTTGTTTGGCAGTACGACGATTTTCTTTTTGCACGACGTCGTACATTGTTGTGTTGGTGGAACGTCGCCGTGCATTTTGCCATGCGTGAATTTTGTCATGTGACCCTTTTGCGAAGGTTTTTTAAAAGGACCGATCGCATTTTGTAAGCAGATGATTTGCCGAGTTGTCAGGCGCTGATATTCAAATAGAATAGAGATAAATCCAAGATCTGCCCATATTTTCACCGTAGCTTTATATAGCCTTACCATTTTGATTCCAGGTGAAAAAATAATCGACAATTATCTCCCAACACACTTGATACCTATTTAATTGTAATTACCTGTGGGGATCATCATAGTATAGCTGTTGTAACCCCTTTTTTATAATAGAACTAGAAACTTGTACGGTAGTCGCAAAGAAAAACTTTTATTGTACCTGTTGTTATGAGAACTGCTTTATGATCAATAAATATTGTTGAGACCAAGATGAATCTTATGTTTTCCCTACAACCAGAGAAAGAAGGATTTTTGGTAAAGGAATATTACCAGTATTTATTTCGTAGCGTCCTCGACTTAAGCTTGGTCATTCCCGGGGAGCTTACAATAGCTTTTTACTAAGATCTTCAGTACAATACCAATGAGCAGATGAGAAGATTTTCTATCAATGCATGTATTTTCACTATGTTACCATGAAAGACCCATCCTTTCACCAGAACAATGGTTTTAAAGGTTTTCTTATTTGTTTCAATATTTAAACTTGGATTCCCTATTATGGCCCCCGCAAGATATGATTGGAACAATTTGGAATCGACGATACCTAACGAAGTTTCCACATAAATTTAAGCTTTTCTGGCCCCGTGGTTCTTGAGAAGAATATTTGTAATGACCCCTTCATTTTATCGTCTGTTCTTGAATATCTCTCCTTGCAAAGGGCATTTGCCCTTCATTTTAAGAATTTAAACTTTCCTTTTGGATTTTTGTACCAAGTTTTGTTTAAATTGAAGTTGAAAGTGTGAAAAGTAAACAAACAAACAGAAGGACACACGACAGGCATTGAGTTCTTTAGAAAAGTTCACTTGAGCTGTCAGCTCAGGTGAGCTAAAAATTAAAGGATGAAGTTGATTATTATGAAGATTTATCAAACTTTAAATCTAAAAAGAACAATCAAAAACATTTAAATTGTTACTGTAAACTTGGTCTGATGTCATAATTCTCTTGGACAACAAATGTGTTAGGCTTGTTCCTGAATGTTAAGCAAATGTTGTCAGGGACCTCAATGAAGCAAGATACTGCGTAACTCTTCATCCGGAGGCCTTTCATTATTCCCCTTCTTCTTGATGCTACCACATCGAAGCTCTCCGCATTTTGGTTGGTTTGCATGTGAATTAGGAAAATAGAGTATCAGCCTCCGTAGTTTATCTAAGAAGAGTCTAAAAATAAATGACAAAAAATTTGGAAGGAAGAACTGAAGACATTGACATAGTATTCTATCCTGCCGTAGATTCTATTGAGGAGATGGGAATTGATTTAAAAGGCCCAAGTAAAAAAGAAGCTAAAATTTAGTACACCAAAGTCTGTCAAGGTTAAGAATCACAGATGAGAAGACAAGACCTTTGAAAATCGAAAGTAATTTAGATTTTTAAGCCTAAGCCCATTATAACACTTGCCTGCAAAAAAAAGAAAGATTAACTTTAAACAAACGTGGGTCAGCAACTTGACCGAAGAACACAAAGATTAAATCTTAATTTGGCAACCTTTGTGCTCAGACATAATGAACCATGAACAAATGCTCTTGAAAGCTCTTGAAAAAGCAATAACCTGAAAAACAAGAGAAATGGTAATGAAATTTAAACATAATAACATCTTCTACAATTAATAGATAAATTAAAGTAAGTTTTTAAAATATTGTATTCACGATAATAAACCTGTACTTATTAAAAATTATTTTACAGGACTAATAAAAAAAAAATAACGAGTCATTTCCTTATGTGCTTTTTCTAACATAACAACAAATAGATCGGCCGCACCTACACTGAAGGCATTAAATAAACTAACCAACTACAATGTACATAGTTATGCTGAGTGAGGCTGTCTATTCTAGATATTGATGGCCCCAGGGTTTGGATATCTCAGGTGTTGGAAAATACATTGATGCTTTAAAACGTTTATCCTTTCTCCTGGCTAATTAACCAGTGAATTATATAAATAGTTATGTAGAATAATGTAGAATGGTTCCTGTTGGATGGGGTGCACAACTGATTATTAAGTGGAAATGCATTTCCTCAGTTTCTCTGGTCTACCTCTTGGAATTAAGTAACCAAAATAAGCAAGGTAAATGTTTAGTTATCATCAGCAATGGCTCTTCTTTCAAAATTGCAAATTTCATGACCTTTTGTTTTAAACATGAAGCGATTCAATTGGTGTAAAGATGATAAATGATACTCAGGTGACCTATAAGGCCCGTGTGCATCTTGTTTAAATTGGGATTTATTTTCTTAGTTTCTCTTATATAATGTTTTACTTATTGTTACATTCCTGGTATCTCTTACGTTTATTGAGTTTTAATCTAGAAATCTAAATTCATGTTTATTGTCCGGTCCTTCGAAGAAGAAGACCGTTTAAATCGAGTTTCCGTTTTGCAGTAGGTGCTTGCACGGAAAAGATCCCTCTCTTCTAAATGGCCCGGAGTGCCGAATAAACAACAAAATTTGCAGCTCTTCACCGGCAAGTGGTGGCGTTTCCATATGAGTGAAAAATTCTGGAGAGGGACGTTTAACAATATTTAATCAATCAATCATGTTTATTGTAAATTTACATGTTCTTTGATTCAAGGTCTTCTTTTCTGAGGGAAAATTTTTTTTTTCTCTTTTTGTTTCGTAGTGTTGTTATACAATTTAAATGGTTACATGAATACCTCTTTCAATCATATTCAAAAAGCAGTAAGTAACCACCTCATCCAACCATCGCGAAAATTTGTGATTTCACAGCATTATGCCTCAAGTATATTCTTGAAACATTAATGCAAATGGGAAGCAGTAAAGTAAATACTCAACAACACTACCTGTTTTGTATTTTTTTCCCAATGTTGCCTTCTTTTTTTTCCATAAGTAGCTGTTGATGAAAATTTTGGCAACAAGGTGTGTTGGTTTTCTCGAATGCTGAAAAAAGGAATTTGAAGTTCATCATCTGTCCTGTTTTAATTTCTTTTTTGCTTGAAGAAGAACTTGATTTCTCTATTTTGTTAATTATTAACAGCTCACAGAGAGAGAAGCAGACGTTCAAAGGTAGCGAAATCGATTTCAGTAAATTTCAGAAATATAGATGAAAATCGATAAGCAAAGGATCCAGGATTTCGAGTAAATAACGAGGGCAATTATTTTTGCAGGGACATTGTACATGTGAAGTCTTCGGTTATTCTTTATGTAAGACAAAAACAGGGTGTTGTTGGTCATGGTGGAGTCTCATAAACACTAAAATATGTTTGTTTGTTTTTTTAGAAAAAGAGATTGAGAGATTTTGGTGCAATACCCAATCTTTGTTAAAGTGTTGGTGTAATTGATATATTTACTGCCTTTGCCCCTATCAACTATACTTTCTTTTACCTTGAAATAATTTGACACCCAATAATTTGGTGTTTTTAGTAGACAGTGACTGCCGTTTCTTTTGAAGGTCAGCGAGTTCTTTTTCAGTTGCAGTTTCTAACCTCTTATCTTGGCCAGATGAATAATCAATTTTTGGTGGAGCAAATTCTCTTTCCTCTCAACAAAAAATGCTGCCTTCAGTTCTTTAATAGCATCCTTTGATAATGTAGATACAACCTCCTCAAGTTGGAATTCCTCATCGAAGAGGAACTCCAGGGCCTCCCAGTCTACATCATCTTCATTATAAGTGTTTGTTGTGATCAAAATTGTAATTCAGATCAAAGTGGGACGCCATATTTAAGATGTTTGTAACTAAAGCAGACGTTTTGTGGCCGGATGTCATAGAAAAGACAACTCACTCAAAATCAATCATTAATTTTTTATGCTTAATATGCATTGATGGAAGAAGAAATCTTACTAAAACTAATACATTAAAAAAGTTGACGAAGAGTTTGTACTTTTTAGCTCGCTTACGCCGATGAAAAGGGTGAAGGGGATTCAAGTTTGTTCAAAAG